CGCATGATAATATCACTAAGACATATTGGTAATCAGACCTCTTGGTGGTCATTTCACTAGACATATTTTCAGAGAAGTAACAGTTTTCGAAATGAATAACCTAGCTCTTTCTCCGCCACTCTGCTAGGAGTAATGAACAATGAATGTTGTGTTCCAGTTTGATGGCTTGCCAATCAACTGATTGAAGGGTGTGAAAGGGTGAATGTGGCATGTAGTGAAAAGCACTTGAGTGGTCGAAACTAGAAAGGCGCTATACAAGTACAGGTCCATTTACCATTTGTTAGTATTGTCTTTGTTCAAGTCCTGAACAGGATGTTTCATTCATTATCTGTGACATCATCAGCCTACCTGAGTATTAAGCTAGCACACTCTCTATATATTAACTGATTCTTTGTAAAATAACTTTATCTTTAATGTATGTTGTGTTCTATATTTGGTAATACAAATATTCATGTTTCCCGGTGTCTTTTTAACTATAGGAGTTCCTTGTACGTAGTTTTTCTCAGATCTCTTGTGTAATCCAGGGATGTGAATATTTAACACATCTCTGCTTGACATTTGTGGCATTTCATTAGTGATTTGTAATAAAACAAGTAATGTCTTCCTATAATGATTCCCATTTCATTGTTCTGACCTATGTCATCATATCACTGATTGAATTTAAAGGTTTATTGGATCAAGGTGAACGTAGGGGCCATATGGGTCCAGTTTTGTCTCTAATACTGCCTATTACAGCAGATCGTTGCCATGCCAGGCCTTTTAATGGAAAAATAAGTTTTTACATTATCTATACTGACTTCGGACAGTGATGCAACAGATAAACCAGTATGATGGACTCATTTTCTTGTAATGTGCGCACATATCTGATCAGTAATTCTGAAGGTTGACAAAGATGCTGACCAGAATGGGGCAGAGATGAATCCCTCCATTTTCCCTCTCCCTGTCCTCCTTTAACTTAATTAGGTGTGTGTGTGTGTGTCATAATGATATCAATTTGAATGAATCCCAATTCAAAACCCTGTTTGTCATAATGAGCCTTTTGTTTATCCAGCTGTTTCACCTATATTCAGGGCTCTGCAGGTTTCAACAGGTTCAATTTAAGACCTTTTTCCTTAAGACCATTACGAATGGAATTTAAGACCTGTTTCAATACTGGCAAAAACAGAACGAAGAATATGAAGGAAAATTAATATTGCTTCCATGTCAATTTTTATTTTGTTTGTAGTTTAGTTGCAGAATGATCAATACATTTATTTCCCAAGTAACATTAACTTTATTAGTTTAATCAAATCCTCTTAATATATTTGACATCCTTTTTGTAAATCGTCTTAAATCTTTTGCATCAACATGACAATTTAATTTACATTAACCACAGAGCACCAACATCAACTGTGGAAGGGAGTTCTGATTGATACTGTATATAAACGCACACCAACCTTTGCATGCCTTAAGACGTCTTCCTGTTCCTCTTAAAGGTTTATCATATTCCATTAAGTCCAGGTGGCAAAATCAAAAGATACAGAACGTTTATCAGCCTAAATCTTAAAATGCGTCAGTAAGTTGTTGTGTCACATCCCACCTGACCGACACCCTGAATGCTGTCTTCATTTGTCCAAATCAAATGATTTCAGGTGTTAACCGGTGGGACATTTTCTGAATCTAATCACCACCAACAACCCCAAGCCACTGAGATTGTTAATGACACACACTGTAACAATGAGAAAAACGAGAATTTCCAGGCAACAAACTTAAAGAACATTTAATGTTAGACCATTTAATTATATTTTCTAAAAGAACAGTTTGGAAAATGAAAATGTATTTGCTTTCTTGCTAGGAGTTAGATGAATATCCTCTGAATATGAAGTTACAGCTGTCTTAGCATAGCATACAGACTGGAAGCAAAGGGAAACCACCCACAATGAACAAAATTCCCCTACCAGCCATTCTAAAGTCCATTATCTAATGCATTATGTACTTTATTTTATTTTTTTTCTTGACCGGGCACAGTGAATTCTTGTCTTATTGTCTAGTGTTATTGTCGCATATATTGTCACACAATTTAGCTGATAGCTCTCGGCAAGAAAGTGAATAAGCATATTTTCATCAGATCAGATTTCCATCAAATCCATGCATCTGATTTTTCCATGCCCCTCTACCATGGCCTTTTACGCTCCTCATTGTACGTGGCTTTAGTCTTTGATCCATGCTTGCAAATGCACCGAGCTTTTATAGATGGATGAGGAATGATTGCTGATTGAAGAGTTGTGCAAAGGACAGGTGCATTAGAGATGAATAATTTTGCGAGTAAATTCTATCAGCTGTAAATAGAGGTTTTTCTTTTGTTTAACAGTTAATCCAACAGAGTCCTGGGTCTTACTGTGAGATCTGTGGTTGAAAAACGTTTTGCAAAGGTTTAACATTTGCAAGAGAAAACTTGCTGTGCTAAGAAAGTGATGGTGAGGATCAAGTGGATTCCAGTCTCATAAAGCGTGTCTTAGCAATCAAGAAACTGTGAATTCAGCTATGAAAACAGTGCAGCTTATTCCAAAGATCTGTTGGCCAACTTCGTCCTTGTCCTTATCCATCTGCAGCCAGGATGGTTCTGTTTGGTGGCACACATTGTGACATGTCATAGGTGAGCCGCCAAAGGTGCGTTAATTGGGTGTTTTTTTTCATACTAGTGGATTTATCATTTTAAGATATGTTGACATTTCAGCGAATATTGCACATCCGTACATCCACCACAGAACAGAAACCAATCATTGCTAAGTGCTGGCCACATTGTGGGCCAAGAGTGTTTCTTGACTGCACCCAAAGTGTTGTCTGTAGGATACCTAATCTGTTACTCACCACCTGTAAAGAATCTCACCACAAGAGATGAAAAGAAACTGTGTAATCTCTCCTGAGAGTCATACAAATTGGCATTATCTATCTGTTTGGTCTCTGTTGTGTGGCTGGCTTATCATGCAGTGATAAATTCCCCTTTCAAAGATAAACCAGAAGAGGTTCTTGTAATGTCTGAGATTTGACCAGGCCCCAAAATAGCAACACACATGTGAGCTAAGATATTGTTCTCAGAATAGCCCCGCAGTGGGAGGACCATCGAGGCGTACATTATGCCAGTTTTCCGCTGTGTACTTCGTTGCTTTGAATTCTGGGGATAATTCTGGTGGCATCCAGCGGCGATGTTGCAACCAACTGATAACCCCTCCACTCACCCTCCCCTTCCAAGCATGTAGGAGAACCTGTGGCCTAGAAACTTGCAAAAAACACAAAAGGCCCTATCTAGAGTGTTTGGTTTGTCCATTCTGAGCTACTGTCAGGGGCGGACTGGCCATCTGT